TACTCTGCAGCTGCATGTTTACAGTGTCCCACCCTTTCACCTGGATCCCTCCACTAGATGTTCACGTCTAATTGAGCTCTGCATCATTTCAGCCATCGGACTGGTTCAAGAAGGCCATTTTCCACAGAGTATGCTGAAGACTGGGATGACAGGAGGGCTTACCTGACAGGAGAGCAGAATCTCCCATCTCTGCTTCAGATCTCCAGCCCACACAAGAGGCACATATATCAAAACCAAACTTTCATATCACAGATCCTGCTTGTATACAAACCCTGACCTTCAGACATCTTGCCCACCCATCCCCATCCCCATCCCCATTATCTGAAGCTTTGTAGGGAAGTCTCTCTTTTACAACACTGTGTAACGTAAGTGCCAACGAGCACGCATGCCAGAAACAGTCTCTTTTACAACACTGTGTAACGTAAGTGCCAACGAGCACGCATGCCAGAAACAGAGGCATCCATGCAGAAGCGACCGCAAAGGCCTATCCGCCTCTACTCATGTTCTGCATTCTCATTCCGCTTTCCGCATGTACCATGAAGATGCCTGATCATATTGTGGGAGAGGCTTAATTGCCATCCCACATGGACTCACTAAAGAGAAATATACTCGCCTGGTAAATGTTATCAAAAAAAAAAAAAAGAAACCACTTATATCACCAGCCCACAGACCAATATATTTACAAACGTCCAGCACTTTCCCCATCCGCAGAAGTTAATCAAACGGATCTTCCAAGCCATGCATACAGCAGCAAAGCATAGTGCTCCCTGCGAATCACTCACACCTACCGAGCACGACTTTATCGATCGTTAGCCACGACTTGTATGAGAAGAGTTAACAGGCCTTCTTCGTGCACATCTGACGTCAGACTCCTCGATGGCACTCTGGGAGCTCGACATATCAGTCAGACTTGAACCCCCTGCGGCATCCCAGGCAACACCACGAGTTCTTCAAACTTTGCCCACACTGCTATCCGTCCAGGGTTCTTTTATTTCATACACCTGGCCTAGCTCAGTTGGTACACCGCTTAACTGTTGGAATACAGATCCAAGTCCGAACTCCACTGGGGAAGCAAATGAGTGAAAAGACGACAACCCTTCCTTGTCCTTCCCACCTCAAGACACTGGAGGCAACAGACACAGGGCTATCTCGTACAGCCATGTGCTCCTCCGTCATCAGTGCCGACTCCAAACAACTGAACAGTACCTGGACATAACCGACGACTCCATCCATCATCTCGTACAGCCATTTGCACCTCCGTCATCAGGGCCTACTCCAAAGAACTGAATGGTACCTGGAGATAACCGATGACTCCATACATGCCACATCATGGTACACCCCTCCACTCTCCGCCTTCTTCCAAATTAACCACACCGAGATGCCTGCCACCTGCCTTTTCTTCAGACCATAACCAATGTATGAAAACTGTCGTTGACCATGGACTCCGTCCCTCTACCATATGCCCCCCAAAAATTAACGGACCTAGCTACTGAAAGATCACAGCCGATAACTCTAATACTGGATATGTACTGTTTGGCAACATATATATGCACATGGATGCCCGGCGTTTCAACCAGCGGCAGAATCGGCGAAAGAGAAACGCGCATACTCCTACCCCAACGAGTACAATAAGAATAAGACTGCGCCGACATGCACAGATTTGCATTTGCGGTGGCGTGTGTAAAGCATTGTACCCGGCCCGGTAAGACAAGCAGCAGCTAGAAGGATGAGCCCAGCATCCCCCATGCGCCGGCACCGAAGACTTGCCCAGAGAACAAATCAGTCAAGACTTGAGCATGGAGTAGTCCTCTGTGTGTTAAGACTTAGCTTCACTGTATACAACTCGGAAAATGCCATGGACGAGAGCGGCGGGGAAGCGTGTAGGGATTCCGTTTGCACCACAGCTCACCCTTTTCATCACCATAGAAGACCGAGACCTCCGAGCTAAGTTCGCTGGAAATGTGGGTGCTCTCTACCCCGTGGCATCGCTTCCCACAAGGGCAACCTTTCCTCGTCCAATTCATGGGACTCGTAGATTGGCACCAAATTCTGATTCGTTGAGCCCCATTCTAGATAAAAACACACCGCCACCTCTTGCCATTGCACTTCCTCACTTTATGTATCGCAGGGGTTGTGAGGCCCTCCCTCCACTCAATCCTTGCGTCTCTCTTCTTGAAAGGGATGCACACATAGCCCCATGCAATTGACCGATACACCAGGCATGGCTCCACACTACTCCTGCAAACATATCAAGAGTGCTGCGAGTCCAACGCGGGATGTAAGTCACCTGCAACTGGTCTCTGCCTCAGACAATCTGACTCATCAGCCAAAGACATAGGTTGCACCAAACGTGCAAAATGAGAATGAATCACGTGGACGGCTCAGCAGCCAAAAAAGACATAATTTGCACCACTGCCACGGGTGACCAAGGCATGGAGGACAGTTTGGGCCTGGCTCGACTACCCACCAAATGTGCAAAATGAGGATGAAACTTCCGCTAGAATATGGGAAGATGCACAGTCGTATTCTTTGTCTTTCTTGCATGTGGAGAGTTGCGGAGCGAGGCCCTTTCTCTCACCACCAGCACATGCTGCAATACGTACTTGGAATATAACAACGACAACCAAGCACGAGTGAAGCCACTGCAGTGTTGCTGATTCGAGTTTCGCCAAAACCACAGGGGCACACAGCTATCTCGCCCTCGACTCCGGTATAAAGAGCTTTCTCAGACCTGCAGAAAACCGGCTCTGGAATTGGCTTTCAACTTGGCCGAGGGGATGTCTTCTTCTCTCCCCTCCGGAAATAGCACTCCATGTGCAGTTTCGGAACGTGTTTGGCATTCCTTGCTGCCGCGAGGAAGATCAGCGGCAGCATTCGCGGGTGATCGAGCTTTCTCTTACAGCTAGCACACAGCGCATGCCTATGAAACAAGCTGACAACCCAGCTCGGTTTCGACGCGAGGCATCGACAATGACATCGCGGCACTGTCACCGTCACCAGCATCGTCTCCTCATAAGTGGCAATGGACTCGTTGAGCTCCACGACGGAGCGCCCAAGGTCAGAGATAAACACTGGCCTGCCGTTAAGGTAAGCATTCATCCTATCGTGATGAGAATCCATCACTGGCGAGTTGCGAAGAGCAGCAACCATGATATGTGCGAACTGCTTGTATTTTGGAGCATCATTCCCGCAATGAACACAGAAAGCATACCCCAGGTAAAAGATAACCGCCCACACGTTGTTTCCACATAGCTCGCAGTCCCAACCAGGGTTATCTGTGACTTTGACTAGAAGTGTCGGGTCCGACGTAGGCGAGGAGATCTTCGACTCGTCGTTCTCATCATCCACCTCATCCCCCGGAGCACTGAATGGAGTGTCATCAACCTCAATCCCATAGAAATCAGCCTCCTTCTTTAGGCGGAAGATCTCGTCATCTGTCAATTTGGGAAGGGCCCTTAAACTGTGGTACCGCAGCAATGCCAACAGGTGCTCAAACACATCCGGCTCGCACTCAATCGACACCGTAAGCATTTCCTCCGAGTCCCGATCATCTTCCTCGCGAGCCAATAGCATCCATCGTTCGCTCAGCAGCGCTCTGAAATACGCGGAAAATTCCAGCAAATGGGAGCTGATAATGTAGGGCGTACGGTCCCGGCCAACAAGCACCTTCACAGATGTGCTCTTCATCATGGGTGGACTACGGCGCTCCAATGGCCCTCACCACAAACCAAGGCTCGCTGTAGCATGCCACAAAGCCACCCCCTCCGGATACCCTGCCACACCCAACAACTCAGCCACACCCCAATAACTCCTTTATATGCCTGGGCCCCACAGGCGCCGACCAGCTTTCTGACTAAGACAGCACATACTCATACTCCGTCCTCCCAGGACACATTCGACTGCCAAAACACACACAGATTCAGCTGCAAAAGCGCTGGTGCGAGAATGTCCGAAAATCCACAGGAAAAAAAAAAAAAAAAAAAAAACCTTTGCCCAAGGAAATTCAGTCCCAGTAATACCCCTTTCTATGGCCGGGGCCCACACGCGACGACAAGTTCACAGAGTATCACCCATCCACATAAAGAAGTTCAGCAAAAGACAACCTGATGGCCTACCTTTCTCCTTTTCGCCGGTCCACCGACATTAAAGGCGGGCCACTTACGAAATGCTGAGGCCTCAAAATGAGATGATTTCGACAACAGGACGCCCACAATGCACAGACAACAGGTGAACTACTGAGTACACTGGAATCTGACTAAAGGTGGGTGGACGCGCAGACAGCAAAGACGCAACACTTGGAAATGGACAAGCGCAACAAAGGCTCCAGGCAAACACAGAGAGCAGAGGGGATTTGAAATTTCACACCATAAGAGGCTTCGACACCAGACAAGGGGCAAGGTCCCACTTGCGCAAATTAGGAGATTTCGACCGTTGATCTTTGCAATCTACGGTCAGTATCTCTTAATTCGTGCAAGTGGGACCTAGCCCCAGGCAAGGACAGAGGTTTCATTTGAGATTTTTTTTCGTCTTTAAATACACACAAGGACCGCGCCCATGGAAATGGAGAAGCACCAACTGGCCTCGCGAAGCACCACCTGGACTAGATCAGTTGGTACACCCACAGACCAGGTGCTGAGTTCGTACTCCACTGGTGGACGCAGATGAGAGAGAATAAAAAGATGAAAACGAAGAAATGGAGAATCACAACGAGGGTTGAAGGCAAACAAAAAGAAGAGGTGAATGGAAATTAGTCTTTAGACAAGAGGCCCACGCAAGCAGACAGACTCCGAGGACAAACTTTGTCTCAGATGGGTCCGATTTTAATCCACAACGGAACAGTCTCCACGCAACCCAGAGCAACCGGATGACGTTCCGATCGAATCCAGCATTCCTATGATGAGATCTGCGTTGTGCAGACGCATAGCCCTGTCGGTCAGTCCGTCGGCCTGTCTGTCACTCTATCCACCGGTCGGTCCGTCAGTCGTTCAGTCCGTCGGTCGGTCGGTCACACATGACACTTGACGATGGGGACTAGGAAGAGCCAACTCGCTCTCTCTCTCTCTCTCTCTCTCTCTCTCTCTCTCTCTCTCTCTCTCTCTCTCT